GCAAGTGAAGTAATATAATTCTCCTTCGTGTAAATACTTCCTGATGTCTGCCTGACCAGCCGCCACACACTGACCTGGTTCTCCCACAGGCTGGCCCATTGGAATAATAATAATAATAATCCTTGCATTTGATATAGCGCTTTTCACGTCGGGAGGACGTCCCAAAGCGCTTCACAGAACACACTGTAAAGTGAATTGACTGTATATTTGTGGGCGAACGCGGCAGCCAATTGCGCACAGCAATGTCCCACAAACAGTCGTGGATTGAAAATGACCAATTTATTATTGTTTTTGGTTTTGGAGGGATTATTATTAGGGCTCTGTGTGGAGTCAGGAAACTTGCCCAAGGTTTCACCCTCTGCCTGGAATTGAACTCAGGTCTCTCACTTGCAAAGCGAGTGCTCTAACCACTGAGCTACAGGACTCCATGATGGTGTTGGGAGTATTGGGGAGTTGATGTTGGGGGTATTAGTATTTGGTTGGTCAGTGGTGATGGACTGATGTTCCTCTCCCTGTTGCAGGTGTCACTCCAGTACCTGAAATCTGATGGCTGGGCTCACATGTGGAACTTCCCTGATCGCCATCCACTGGATCATGACAGCCGCTCACTGCATCAGGTGAGTCAGCAGCTGTGAACGAGAGGGTCAGTCTGACCGCGTGTGTGTGTTTGGAAGACTGACACTCCTCTTCCTATCTCTCTCTCAAGCAAATCCAAGGAATGATGCTGGGCAAACACAACCTGCAGAGGTCACAGACAGAATCAGTGGCACTGGAGGTTGCAGCTGAGAATATCTTGTTGCAGGAGAAATGGAACCCAATTAATACCATCCTTGGTATACTATTATTATTATTTTATTGAATTGTACTTTTCTTGCAGGGATTGATTATAGGGTCAAATTTAGGTCCTTAAAGCGTTTACTGCCAACAATAATAATAATTCTTGCACTCAATATGGCACCTTTCAGACTGTGAGCGCTTCTCAAAGTGCTTCACTGAGTGGTGACTGTGTATTATAGATGAACAAAACAGCCCATTTTGCACACAACAATGTCCTAAAATAGTTATGAAACGAGTGACCAATTTTATTTGGGAGATTGTCAGCCAGGGCACTGTGAGAGGGAAACTCCCTCTTCTTTTCAAATAGTGCCTTGGGATCTTTAACGTTTGCCTGAACACTCACCCTTTGATGTGCTCAGGAGTGATCAAAACAGGTTAAATAATTGAAAAAGGTTTGGGTTACAGGAAGAGTCCTTTTTAAAATGGAGCTAATAATAATCCTTGTGTTTGATATAATGCCTTATGTCCTTGAGGCGTCTCAAAGCGCTTCACAGAATATACTGGAGAGTGAGTTGACCGTATAGTTTGTGGGCGAAACAAAATTTATTGTGTTAATTAAATAATTAGTCATTTTAAGATTAATTAAAAAAAATGTATGTATGACATTCAGCTGTGCTCTGACCTCTCAGGAATGATAGATATCATCTTATCAAGCTGTCCAACCTCCTGTTTCTGAGTGATGCTCTACAAAATCATCCCAGGAATCATTCTACTAAATAATGTGGAGTGCTACATCACTGGGTGGGGGCGTCTATTGAGTAATGACACAGGAAAGAGCTGAGAAGGACAATATTGATATGAACTAGAGTTGGGCAGAGCAGTGGCAGATGCAGTTTAATGCTGAGGTACTACACTTTGGGGAAATCTTTCTGTCTCTCTTATCAGGAGGTTATTAGGTGGATTTGTACACGGAGGTTACGAGGTCTGCAATTTACCCACAAAGCTCAGTGTTTATTTGGTTATGTGCTATGTGTGTTTAGAGATTGGAAGATAGTCAGAGAGAGAAAAGGTCAAACATGTGCAGAGCTAGAAAGATAGCGAGTTTCAGAAAGAGACGAAGAGAGAGAAATTTCGGAGATAAAGAAAGTCAGAGAGAGACGTGAAGAAAGATTTAAGGATAAATAGATAGAGATTTAGGGCGACGAGGAGAGACTCAGCAAGAGAGAGAGAGAGATGGGCAAATGTATAGAGAGACTCAGAGACTCCTGGGCTATGTATTCCTTCTGATCTCTCCCTTTCTGATAACCTGGCTTTTATTTCTTCCTCGTCTAAAATTCACCCCAAGAAGTTAATTGGCTCACCACATTCTAATTCAGTGTAGCACACTCTCGGTCAGCAGGTGTGGGGATGAGCTCCACTTCAGGGTCTGTGGTGCAGTGTGAAGGGAGAGGTTTTGTTAAACGATGAAGCTGATGGTGTTTTGCTGATAGGGTGACTCCGGGTGGTTGGGGGGGGTGCTGATTTGCCAGGCTGACGACAGGAAATGGGAGGTGCACAGCATCGCTAGCTTCGTCTCCACCATCAGCTGCAACTTCAAGCAGAAGCCCACAGTCTTCACTCGTGATCCGCCTCCAACGACTGGATCTCACAGGTGAGGTCCTCGAGACCCCACCGCACGACAGTTACCTCCACACATTAACACTCAAAGCTATGGCCACTCGGTGGGAAAAGGTGGAGAAAGCACAGAATATTGGATGCTGGACAGTCAGGAATCCACACCCGAGCTGGTTGGAATCAGGAGATGGGAGGGTGTATGGGTGTTGAGGGCAGTTTAGGAGTGTGCATGATCAAAGAGGAGGGTCTTGAGATGCCCTACCATCGGTGGCTGGGCCTTCAGCCTCTCAGCCCCGAGGCTCTGGAACTCTATCCCCCAGTGCCTTCGCCGCTTTCTCCCTTTCCTCCTTCAAGGCCGGTCTCAAGACCTTTCTCTTTGACCTTCAGCCTTCAGCTCCCCTCTCGACTCTCTACCCCTCCTCGCTCCCTCCCTTCCCTCACCCTGACCATCTCCCCCCTCCTCGCTCCCTTCCTTCCCTCCTCCTGACCATTTCCACCCTGCTCGGGTCCTGACCCAACTGTATAGTGCCTCGGGACGTCCTCCCGACGTGAAAGGCGCTCTATAAATGGAATCTTGTTGTTGTTGTTCTTAAAGCAGGCAAGGGAGGGGGCGAGGCTGAGCGAATGTGGGATTGAGTTCCAGAGGGTGAAGGCAGAGGGGCTGAAGGCCCACCAGCCAATGGTGGGGTGGGCAAGGCAGGGCACGTGAAGCAGGCTGGAACCTGCTGAGCGAGAGGGACTGGACAGGTTGGTTAGAAGCCTTTTGTTGAGGTGCTTAGCAGTCTGGACATTTCATGTCAATTCCTCCTCCCAACATTCAATGCTCAAGGAGATAACCACTTGCACACACAGCCAGAGACAATTACGACACAGGATGGAGCCATTTGTAAATCAGGAATAGTGGAAACCTGGAACTCTCTCCTCCAAAGGGCTGTGGATCCATTCAAATTTACAAGTCTGAGGTCGATAGATGGTTGTTAGGTCAGGGCATTGACGAATATAGAACAAAGGTGAGTAAATGGAGTTGAAGTACAGATCAGCCCTGATCTAATAGAATGGCGGAAGAGGCTCGAGGAGTTGAATGACCGGAAACGGTGCGACTCATCCGTTGCCGATGTTTATAGTCCACACTCGCCTCCACCTCTTATTGCCTTTCCGTTTTGCATGTATACATCGTTTCCTTTCCTCTGACATTGATACTTTTACCTTCAACCATATCATTCTGTTTAGTTCCCCGCCTCCACCCCTACACCCTTTTATATTTTTCTCTTTCTAATTCTCCATCTAATTTCCTCTTAAAAGGCAAAAGCCTCCGGCCTTGTGCCACTATTTGCAATACAGAGCCTCCGGCAAGTAAAGTGCAGTGACTAACTTGTGGGTAAACGCAGCAGCCAATGTTCTACATAAACAACATCCCACAAACCTCCATGGAGTGAGTTTTATGAAATTGTCGGCCAGGAGAGAGAAAACGCCCTTCTCTTTTCGAAATGTTGTGGGATCTTTTAATGTTCACTTGAACAAGCAGATGGGCCTCCGTTTAACATCTTAGTGGAGTCCTGTAGCTTAGTGGTTAGAGCAGTCGCCTCGCAAGCGTGAGGACCTGGGTTTGATTCCAGGCAGGGCAAAACATTAGGCAAGTTTTCCTTACTCCAAATGTGTATACCTAGCAGTAAGTAGGAACCCTGTTAAGTCGATTGGTGGATCACATGAGGTGTGCTGTATAAAATGTTATTCGGTGGTTGAAATCAGCAATACTGGTAGATACTTGGGTATTAAGTCACTCTTGTATGAAGTGTTTGTTCCTTCCTATCCCACTCTCCTTAGCCCCCGATAAATGCGATTCGTCATGTTCTCATTGTTGAAATGATCATTTCTCCACAGACGATGGCAAGTAACTGAAGTGAGTGGTGCAGAACTGTACTGTGTCAAACTGGGTATCTCCAAGAGCCAATAACAAAAAAATGTGTGTGATGCTCTCTGTACTGTCTATACATATAATGGACCTCCAATAGCAATAGCCAGGTATATATTCGACACCATCAATTCTCTGACATGGAAGTTTGTGGCTCATCACTCGAGGGCAGCTTGGAGGGGAAGGAAGGACATGATTTGGGGAAGCTGGACAGATAGGAACAGGAGGTCGTCAACCCATTGGGTCTGTCCCACAATTTTATTGGGTCATATCTGACCTTTGAAAATCCCATTTCTCTAAACCGCCTAATTTTCAGACAGTAATAACTAAGCTGGTGGGTCTGGCTTGTTAAGAGACACAGGCTCAATATGACCTGGCCCCTCCTTCCCACATCTTCAGTTTACACCTTATAGACCGTCCTCACTGTCACCTCCCAGCTCACACCAGTGTCAAGTACTCTGGGATACTATATATCGCTTGTTGTTTGTTTAATGTGTTGGTACAGTGCCCAGCATTCAATCTCTAAGAATCAGTTATGTAATAATACTTGTATATGATAGCACCTTATCACATTCTTTGAGACATCTCAAAGTCCTTCACAGAATACACTGTAAAGTGACTATATTTTGAGGGCAAAACTTAAGGATCATTTGTCTTAAACCCCACAAGAGCTCCCAGTGAACAGAAAACAGCACAATAGTATTCAATAATTTTATTGCAAGAAATACAAAAGTAAAAAAAAGTTTACAGCACTGAACAGGCAGCTAAATGGCTAAAAATCACCTAAATTTTAATACCAACAACAGATTGGTCACTCGTGCCCATTACCAGAAAGCTTACCCCCTCCCCTCGTGTTACTAAACAAAGCAAGCAGCTTACTTCCACCTCAAGAGTTAAACCAGTCACATTTGATTCTGTAAATCTTTTTGTCTCGTGTTATTTTCTTTAAGGTCTGTCTCTGTGCATGGAGAGAAAATGCAGCCTTCCAGACACCAGTCAATCACAATGGGAATTTATTTTTCAGAGGAAATTTTTTTTGAAATTTTAGTCTCCCCTGGGAAAAAGGAACACGTTAGGTCAGATATCCCAGCCACAACTCTTCCACGTCAAAGTTGGTTGGTCATGCGCTTCACAGCCGGTCGTACACCTTGCCATGAGAAGAATGGCTGCCATTTCACCTCCCTCCAAAAGTCTCTACACAACAGTAAATACTGTGAAACATTTTTGAGACTTCCCCGATTTGCGTGTATAGTAAGGTCTCAACTATCTGGTCACTCTCTCTCCTTATTCTGGGATCTTTGCAAAACAACAAAAAAAAGTTGAAAACTTCATAAAAGGCCCTAAGCCCCCAAAGAGGAAATGGGAGCTTGTCACTATGGAAACAGAACAGTGCCTCTCAATACTGTCACCCTTCCTCACACCCCAAGACAAAAAAAGGTCCACAACCTGCATGCAAGTGAAAAGCACTCAACTTGAGCAAGAGACAGCAATACGCACGCAGATTGCAGGACACGCGCGGACACTAAACTATGTTTGAAAGGGGCTCATCACCCCCCCCCTCCCCACACACACAAAATATTAAAATTAAACAAAGCTCACAAGCCCACCCACTGCGATCGTATCAGCTGGAAAGCAAGAAACAACAATCTGTTCCAGTCTCAAAGAGCAACAAAGGATGGTCACCACATCCAAACAGCTCGGCGAAACCGGGAGAGACACATCAACTACCAAACTAGACGTTGAAAGATTCTGCGCTGTACGGGTGGTGGGGGAGAGCAGTGCTTACACTGCTATCTCAGTGGTAAAGCGTCTGTCTGTACAACTAAACCAGCACAATGGTGCTTTAATGGTCCATTTCTAGGAATCCACTAGGCTGGTCTTAAGACCATTCCAAAAAAAGACAGCCATCCACCCCAGTACATCCAGTATTAATATTTTTGTGTACTCCCGAGTAATAGAGTAACAGGAAGAACAAAGCAGAGGGTCACAAGGATAGGGTTCCTCTCTCCTCCCACCAACTCCTCTCCAATGAATAGGATACCCCACCTCCCCAGACAATCTCAGCTCCCAGTGCAGCAGCTCAGCTCATCACAGCCACAAGACAAACCCAATGCCTGCTGCAGGCCAGAAATTCCACCTAGTCTTACCTGCAAGACATTGTGGCTTAATTGAAAGTTTAAGGTGGTGCAGAATTGTGGAAGATTCTTCAACCAGCCTGAATTTGGGAGCCAGTTTGCTCCCCTTTCCCCCCCCATCCTGTAGCCAGCTTCCAATTTGAATTTGAAGCGATTTCCCCACCTTGTCAAAATATGTAGACAAAAATGGCCTCACAAGCTGAAACTGAGTGGAATTTTAAGCCTCAGACTTGCCACAGCGACAGAATTAGAAAATGGCCGAATTCTGGGATAACTCAATTTTTTTTGGTGTGGGTGTCATTGGAGGAAAAAAAGACAAAGATCAAATGTAATGATGATAAAGTGCAATTTTGTGAGCACAAACTTGAAATTGGGGCTTGTGTACATTTTAGTCACGACAGACCTGGGCACTAGCAGTTTGTACTGCTTCCAAAGTCTTCAGATTCTTTAAAAACAGCGATGTGCAAACTTTTAGCAACCTTCTCAGCAGGACCATTGCACATTTCCAACAGCGCTGCTTTCTCTCTCTCTCTGCTAACATCACCTGCACAAGCCTATCCTGCCCTGACTCACTCATGTGGCCCTCTCCCTCCACACCAATCTCAGTCCCTTCACTGTGCAGCTCAGCAGCAAATCGATGACTTGTATCAGAACTCGTTAAACTTGTACCCGAACCACTCTGTACTCTCTGCCCCCACCCTGAACCCTGACATCCTTTCACTGAAGATCCCCCAATGGTCACTCTGGATAGTAAACAGCCAAGCTAGAGGTTTACACTGCACAGAATTTGAAGCTGCCTTGTGGGGAAAAGTGGAGAGAAAGAGATGGGTCATAGTCACTGAAAGTGTCTCCTAGAAATATCAACTTTAACATCAATCATCCAATTTCACAGCCCCAGTTTCTAGCCACTAAAGAGCTTCAAAGCCCTCGCTGCTATTTGTGTAGAGCAGCAGGTCCCAAAGCTCTGTCCATCCAACCATCAAGACACTATTTGGGCTGACAAGACACCACCAGCAGTAGGTTTACTAGTAGTTTGAGCCCTGGCCTGCCCACACATGACACGTTATCCTTGTGAGTCTGGAATCCCCCGTTCAGAGAAAAGATGAGCGATCACTTTGATCCAGATTAAACAAAACCAACCCACCTCCCTACCCCAAATAGAAAGCTCGTTGAGAAATCAGAAGTGGCTGGATGCATATCAGCAATAGAAATGTACCACTACTCACACACCAGAGCACAGATAACACCTCAACTCAGTCTTCAATGTATCTACAGACTCACACAGAGCTGCCCTTGGTCTCGGGGGAACAAGGGGAGAATCCATTTACCAGCTGATTAATTGTAAAGAACATCTTGGACTAAGATGACTATGTTGGAAAAAGCAACTCATGTTTTCAAACCTTTACAACAGCAGTTTGGTTTAATAACACAATCGGAGCTGAAGTTCAATTGCCTGAAACAGGCCACCCGTTTACCCCAAGGCTAACACTCTTTATTGCCAACACACCAAGAGGAGAGGACGTGCATGTGTGTAATGGGGTGGGGGGGGGCAGGGGGAGACCCTGAGGAGGGAAGAAAAGCTTTACCTACAGAGGCAGTTTTAAATCGTGCCATAAATCATCGACTAGCGAATGCCCAGCTCAACGGGACGCAGGAGAGGAGAAATCAAACACGTATGAACCCAGGATCCTGGGAATAATTAAACATCAGTCCCGCCACCAGCCCTGCTCTATAGACAGCCGGCTCCGGCACTCTGGTATCGCGTTAAATGAGCTGGGTTTTTATGGTGGGTTTACAAAGAAGCCAGTACAAAGTGGAGTCTGCCTGCTGGCTTTGGGGCTCTGCTCTCCCAACACCACCCGTTCCTCCCCCCCCCATGAAGATCGTCTAAGCGAGAGTTTTATTTCAGCGAGGTGCAGAAATACGACTGATCAAAATATCCCCGTTAACACCAGCGGCAGGCCGACCAGTCGGTACAGCAAGGGGTTTAATGCCGTGGATTATTCAGGCGCGGGAGAGCCGAACACAAATGCCCGGGTGGCCCTTGTAACATAATCAAAGGCAAAACGTTTAGTGGTAAGTGGCCACCGCTGATACAATGAACTGCGCAGAATTGTGTGTGTGTGGGGGGGGGGGGGAAGGGATGGAGATTGTGTTGGGGGGAAAGGAGAGGTTGAAGAGGCATGTGAACAGGAAGTCGTAGTAAATTCAAACATCCGAGTGCACTGATACTCCAGTCACTTTAAATGATCTGTCGCAGCGACCAGTTCAGTTACATCAAGTACTTTAGCATTTTGCGTGAATTGGGAATTTTTTTCTTTTCTCTATTTGCTGTCGGTCAGTATAGGATATTGGTTAGTTGATTTCTCTCTCTCTCTCTTCCACCCCACCCTCCTCCCACTCCAGCCAGTGCACCGTAAACCTCAGCTGCCTTTCGTTCAAGTGAAGCTTTCATTGTGGTTGGTTGCTCGGCTCGGGTGTGGCTGGGTCAGATGATTCGAGGGTTATATTCCGGCACCTTCTTAATCCTCTCCTTTTCGGCATCGCTCTCGTCCCTCGCGATCATCAGTGAGTGAGCGTGGCCCATAGCGACCTGTGGGGGAACGGACAAAAACTCTCAGCCTCCAAACCAGTCACTGGCCAGCCCCAATTCCAAACGGCAGGTAGCCTGACGTCATCAACCCCACCCATCCCCCATGTAATAATAATAATCCTTGATATAGGGGTTTATCACGGCTTTGAGACATGCCTAAGCATTTCACAGGATATACAGCAGGGAAGCAACATTGATGGAGGTGTCATCCTTTGGGTGAGATGTTAAACCTGAGGTCCTGTCTGTCTGTTCAGGTGCACGTAAAAGATCGATGGCACTCTATCCCGGCCAATAATCCCCCAGATTAAAAAAGACTATTTGTGGGACAACGTGCATTTGTGGGCAAATCAGGAAGCCAATTTGCACACAACAGTCACTATACCTCACCTGTGAAAATGACTAATTATCTAGAGTATTGCTGGCCAGAACACTGGCAGAAACACCTCTGTCTGTCCTAATAAAATCATGGGATCTTTATAAAATTTAAAGCAAGAACAAGCCTATGTTTAATGGTAAGAACACACACAGCTTGAATCCACAACCTCCCAACTCCAAGATGAGCATGACTGCTACACCAAGCTGATGCATGTACAGTCTCCAGACTGAAGAAATGGGAACAGCTTCTCTCTCTCACCTGTTCCACATAAACTCCATCCAGGGTCTTGATCTCTTGTGCTGTGGTGGAGGATTTGGGTTTATTATCTCCATAGCCCTGTGAACGGGAAGATCATTGATCATTTTGTATATGTACACATTATCACGTCATTGAGACATATCAAAGCACTTCACAGGACATACTGTAAAGTGGATTGACTGTATTTTGTGGGTGAAATGCAGCAGCCAGTTGACACTCATCAAGCCAGTTCCACAAGTTTATAAACCTTTTAATCCCAATCCCATCCTTTTAACCTCTGTCTTTTAAACATCCCCCATTAATCCCACCTCTAGTTTCTTGGGCAGAGCGTTCCACATCTCATAATACTTTATGTGAGGAAACAATTCCTGACCTAACCTCAGTTCTGACCTTGGCTCTGATTTGAAGGCTCTGCCCTTGTAAATGATCCCTTCACCAGAGGAGTTACCCACACTATCATGTTCACTCTTTTCATTTGTATAAATTGATACCCTTGGGTAGGGTTGCTGCATGGCTAGATTCTGTGCTGTAACACCACGCCTCTCTGCCCGTTATAAACAGTTCTCTGTTGCTTACCAGTTCCCCAAAGGTAGGTGATGGGCCCCAAGCGATTGTGCTTTCATCTGCAGCCACAATGATGCTGCTTTTCCTAGCCAGAAAATAAACAATAGCAATGTTCTTCAATAGTAGTTCATGTCACACGTATCAATGTCCCACAAACAGCCACGAGATGATCAACCAATTTAACAGGAGGAATGTTGGCCAAGACGCTTGGAGAAATTCCCCTTTCTCTTCCTATTGTGTCAAAGGATCTTAATCATTCACTAAAACAGGCCCCATCAGGCCCTCTGTTCAATGTCTTATCTGAAGGATGGCAGCTCCAACAGACTCCCACAGGCCTGCACTGGGAACTTAAAGTCCAGATACGAGGCCAGAACTTTCTGACTCAACAATTCCACCCTCCCCCGTCACGGGCACTCCCCCTCCACCCATAGGCATCCCCCTCCCACATCATCCCCACTCACCCACTAGACAGGCTCCTGATCTTCCACCCACACAGGTCCTGCACCACCTTGGGATACATGGTGGAGTCCCGGGAGGTGTTTGTCGCTCCCCAGAAAAACAAGCCACCTGGAAGAAGGGCACAGTTACTGACCAGCAAACACACAGCACAGCACGCAGGACTGACTGTGTGCTTATCAAACTGCTGTCAAGGTTACATACTTTAAAATACAAATCCATTTTTTTCACCCAAAGGGTTAGTGGAAATCTGGAACTCTCTCCCTTAAAGGGCTGTGGTTGCTGGATCCATTCAAGTTTTCAAGAATGAGGTGGATAAATATTTGTTAAGTCAGGGTATCAAGGACTATGGGGCAAGGGCGGGTAATTGGACTTGGAAGTACAGATCAGCCATGACAGAATGGCAGAACAGGCTTGAGGGGCTGAATGGCCTACTCCTGTTCCTATAGATCCCCAATGCTACGCAGGACTGAGGGGACACTTGTACTTGCAAGTTGTTGTGGTACTTTAGCACAGGGCAGGAGATGCTGATTGCTGCGCAGGTCACCATGGGAGAAGCAAAGTCCTAGTTTGAGGAGAAAACTCATCATCAGCTTCTGCGTTTTCTTTAAAAAATAGGTTTTTGAAAGTTTTGTGTATGATACATGCAAACAACCCATCACCATGCTCAAGAGTATCTCAAATAGAGTTCCACATAGGCCACTTAGAAGTGGGAAGAGAATGGGCAGTCTCTCCTTGGGGAGGGGAAGGCACCCCATTTCCTCAATTCCTGTGAGTATTAAGCAGAAGGCTTGGGGACCCCAGAGATAACTACTCGAGTCTAATCAGCTAAAACCACATAACTTGCTCTGCCCCCAGTGACTGGTCTGTCCTGCCAATGAGCCAGGCTGGCTCTACTGGCTGGAGTCCTGTAGCTCAGTGGTTAGAGCACTCGCTTTGCAAGCGAGAGACCCGAGTTCAATCCCAGGGCGAAACCTTGGGCAAGTTTCCTTACTCCACACAGAGCCTAATAATAATCCCTCCCAAACCAAATACAATAATAAATTGGTCATTTTTAATCTACGACTGTTTGCGGGACATTGCTGTGCGCAATTGGCTGCCGCGTTCGCCCACAAATATACAGTCACTTTACAGTGTGTTCTGTGAAGCGCTTTGGGACGTCCTCCCGACGTGAAAAGCGCTATAACAAATGCAAGGATTATTATTATTATTGCTGTCATCAGCAGCAACATGGAGTACTGCAGACCTACCTGGCTCAGGAACAGAGACCACCAGAGAGGACTGGTTCGATTCCGACATTCAGTTGCTAAACATGTCACCTTGGAGCCAGCTCATCTACAAAGAAATCCCGCTTACCATCGCAAATCGGGAGGATATCCCAAGGCGCTGAGATGTCAAACACTGTATACAGTATAGAAAATTGAGAGGTCTGCAATACCGTATAACGACATTCAGTCATTACTGACCCATTTCGTTCACTGCAAAGGAGCACGTGTTTCCAGCATAGATCTGAGCAGCTCCTCGTCCAGGGAAGTCAAAGAGCTTGACCAGACGCGGCACCATCTCATCCTTCTGCTCCGTGTGTCCCAGGCGCCCGTACCCCCCAAAGCCCCAGGTGAATACTCGCTTCTGAGAATCCAGAGCAATCTGGGGACACAAGGAAATCATTGTGTTCCAGATTCTAGCCTCCACTGCAGGTCGATGCCGTAACTTCTATACAATGATCTTCACTAATTTGTTTTGGTTGCTTGGGAGACTGATGTGTACAGAAACCCCAACCCCACACATGACCTTAGCCTGTCAGGACAGCGCATCCCAGTACTTTAGCTTCACTGTATTCAGACATTGACAGAGCTGTGGAGGGACACATCAAGCTTACTCAATTTACACAACCCATACGCATGGGCACACACCGGCCAAGTGTGCATACATATACACACTGCCCAGCAACACTTGCACACACACGACCAAGCCACAAGTTGACACACACATGCACACAGCTCAGCACATACACACATCCCAGCCACACATACGCATGGCCCAGCACACGCATGCACGACAAATGAACACCTTGTTCAATTGGACATTGTAAGTTGGGAAAATTGCAGCACACAATATTTGCTGTTGGCTGTACCGTGTGATTTGCTCCACAGGCCACCTCGCGGACCACCACATTGGGCACAGGTAAGATCTGACCGTCCTTTGTCTTCTCCAAGAAGATGGCTACTCGCCGCGGCACCACCTCACAATCAAACTCGATCCTCTGGGCCCGAGCAATGAACTTGCCGTCCGAGTTGTGTCCTAATAGATGACAAGACTAGTGAGAGATGCCCAACCACTGATGTTAGTCTGTCAGGAAAGCGCACCTCAGTACTTTAGCCTTGTTAGCACTCTCAGCAGAAGTAGCAGACACAACAGAAAGCCCACAAACAGGCTAAGGTTGACCAGGAGCAAAACTTCAAATTTGCTGGTACAAATGCACCTTTTGTTCTTTTTAAACAGCTCTGGCTTGAACAGGACGATCCATGTGGAGCGGTGAGCGATGAACAATGTGCAGTGAATGCCCTCTGTGGAGGCCGGTCAGGAAGGTCAGAGAATATTAACACAAGAGGCAGCCATTAGTCACTCCAGCCTATCCCACCAGCTCACTGGGCTATAACAGATCCTTCCAATTAGAGCCAATCTTATTTTGTGGGAAATTTCTTGTTTAACCCACTGAAAATAATAATACCTGCATTTAACATGGCGCCTTATCACGTCTTCGAGATGACTCAAAGCGCTTCACGGAATATACAGTAAAGTGAATTGACTGTATATTTGCATGTGAAATGCGGCAGCTAATTGCGCACAGCAGTGTCCCGCAACAGTTGTGGATTGAGTGACCTAATTTTTTTTGTTGTATGTCATTTTATTTATTTTTATTACATTTACAGTGTTCAATGGTAATAGCCAGTTTATGCATTTAAACTTTGGTGGCAAAAATCTGAATTTCTACTTTTAAAGTGGGCTTGCGCGACAGTCTGCTGCACAGCACTCACCTGCACAATGGTCTATAGCATGTTCAGCCCCTCCTTGACATGCGTACACTTCCCTCCAGACCACATGAACGGTAACAACAGAACCGGGACAACGACTGTTGCAAGTATTCATTTAATTTTTAAATATTTTTGCACAAACTCCACTAATTTTTAAACTTTCTTTTTGTTGTGTGCGTTTTTAAAAAAATATTTTTTTTTTGTTGCTCTTCGTTTTATTTGATTTTTTCCATTTTATTCTCCCATCCCTACCTGCTTTTACTTTCCTGTTATTTTGCATTTGCCTGTAAATCCCAGACTCCATCAATCCCCCTCCACCCCACTTAATTTTCCTTATTTAGGATACATTCCCATTCCGATGTCCAGCATAAGGTGTTACTTCTCATTTGCTTCTCTGGCCCCACCTGCCATAGTTTACCCCCAAAATCGCTTAACCTGTTTATGTCTGCTTTCTTCATAATTCAAACTAGAAACATCACATTTGTGAAATTAATCAACTTCCAAACTCATTTCATTTGGCTGACATGTAGGATTATGTTGACAGGGCTCTCAAACCCACATATTCAGCAGCTTTAAACAGTTTGTTTCTCTATTCTTGACAACTCATGGATGAGCACTAATAGGGACCAATTGCTGAGTGGGCACCTCACAGCAACTGAGTTACTGCGGCTGTAAATTAGTTCAAGCTAATTCACCCACTGCCCACCCACAATGTGTCAGCCTGGCTCAGTGGTAGCACTCTTGCCTCAGAGATAGTAGGTTCACGCCCCACGTTGGGACTTGGAATCATACTAAGATGTCTAAGCTGACACTTCAATTAACGAGAATTGCCGTGTACAAATTGGCTTCTGGATTTTTGCATACAAAATACAAAACGTCACTCCACTATAGTAATAAATAATAATAATAATACTTGCATTTGATATAGCGCTTTTCACGTCGGGAGGACGTCCCAAAGCGCTTCACAGAACACACTGTAAAGTGAATTGACTGTATATTTGTGGGCGAACGCGGCAGCCAATTGCGCACAGCAATGTCCCACAAACAGTCGTGGATTATTATTGTTTTGGTGTTGGAGGGATTATTATTAGGCTCTGTGTGGAGTAAGGAAACTTGCCCAAGGTTTCGCCCTCTGCCAGGAATTGAACTCGGGTCTCTCACTTGCAAAGTGAGTGCTCTAACCACTGAGCTACAGGACTCCACAAAGTGTACTCTGTGCAGCACTTTGAGAATCATTTTTGACGTGAAAGCATCTTATATAAAATGTTAGGATTATTATATTTTTATGGTCAAATTGGATCAAAGCTGCATTGTTGGATGATGCGGGCTTTCAGATGAGATGTTAAACTGAGGTCCCATCTACCTGCTTTCTGGTGGACACTAAAGATGCCAGGGTAGTGTCCCAGAGCGCTTGAAAACACGAGGCACTAACAGCCCTGGGCTACTTTAACACGTGCCCACCAGCACGTGTCACTAATCATAAACTAAAGCAACTATTTTCATTGATATTGTAAACCAAACATTGAAACCAGGTTATTATTTTGTAAATATTTTGTTTCCTTACTCCACACAGAGCCTAATAATAATCCCTCCAAAACCAAAAACAATAATAAAATTGGTCATTTTCAATCTACAACTGTTTGTGGGACATTGCTGTGCGCAATTGGCTGCTGCGTTCGCCCACAAAATATACAGTCAATTCACTTTACAGTGTATTCTGTGAAGCGCTTTGGGACATCCTCCCGACGTGAAGAGCGCTATATCAAATGCAAGGATTATTATTATTATAATTAAATATTTAAAAATCTTCAGACACTTCATTAATGTTAATCCTTCACAATAAGCCACGAAACAGCAAACTGCACCCAGTAGCAGCAGGAATCTCACTCAAAGCAAGTCTTACTCTAAGCTTACAAACCTTCACAGAGCAGATCAGGGAATGGATAGACAGCACGTCCGGCTAATGTATCCCATGTCCTTAATCCCACACAGCTCACATGCGAAGCTGGCTATAGAATCTCCAAAGCTTACATTGCGATTAGTATTCTCTTTTTTTTTAAAAAATGTGATGTTCGCCTTTCAGAACCAGTGCCAGCGGAGTGTTTGCTAATCACAAGTAGTCATTTACAGAGCAATAAACTGCTAACACAGGATTATTGATCTAAAACAGGATCAATTCCACAGATCATGACGTTAGCTGGAACTTGGCCTTAATCTCAAATCGTTCTTGGAGGGGAGAACTTCAGGGAGCTCGAAACGCCAGCTGCAGGTTCCATCCACCCCTCCCCCATCAAAAACTCTCACAAGTTAACTGCGACAAACCCTTTCGCACAAAGTCTAAAGAGCCTCCTCACATCAAAACGGCTCAACGCATTTACACGGGTAAAGGTGTCAAGTACAGCGACTGCATTTATAGCTAATTTTGCCAGCGATTTTGGACACAGCAACATCCCGCAAACAGTCACAAGGTGAATCTGGAGGACTGTCGGCCACAATATTGGGAGAAACTCCCTTCTCTATTCCCAACAGTGCCACAAGATCTAAATACCCATCTGAACAGGCAGAAAGGACTTTGATTTAACACATCGTTCGAAGACCTGTTCAGGTGAACATTTAGATTGGGTACCTCCAACAATGCAAAGCACTTGTCTAGAGCTGCACTGGAATTGGAGGACATTTGACCCATTGTGTCTGGATTGCTCTTTCAATAACCAGCACATTCAGTCCTTTACCTGCCCCTTTCCCCCCACACTCCTATTAATACCCCTGGTAAATATCTATTTACTTCCTCCTTGATTCATTCAATATCTCTGCCAAACCGTCATTTGCCTCAGGGTAGATGTCGAGTCCAAGATTAAACAAGAAGCTTCAACCCTCAACCTTCCAAAGGTATGACTGGCTGAGCCAAATTGACATTTGTTTATTAATAATAGAATTTGATGTAGCAAAACATCTTAAAGTGCTTCACAGGATATACTTAATGTAAAGTGGTTCTGACTGTATATTGTGGGCCAACATAGCAGCCAGTTGCACACAGCAATGTTACAAACAGCCAGTGAGTGACCAATTTTATCTGAGGGATTGTTGGCCAGGACACTGTAAGTGAACAACTCTTTAAATAGCACCGCAGGATCTATAACACCCATCTGAACAGGCAGACGGGACCTTTATATACACAAAAAAAAAATCAATCATTCACTTCACAACACTTTACTGTGTTCAAAAAATACTGTCAAGCCTGCACGCACACAAAATCATTACCCTTCAAACTAAAGATATAACAAGCAAATGAGGAGGTATAAAAATGTTTGTTCTATGTCCCCTGCCCTATCTGCAACATTCAGTGGCTGAGCTTTTAGATCCTATACCACTAACCTCTGGAATTCCTTGCCCTCACTCCCTCTTTATCTGCCTTCCAAGTCCCATCTTAAAACCTACCTCTTAAATCAGGTCTATGCTCGCCCCCTCTTGCTTGGTGTCCGACCAGTTACCGGTCATGTTTAATTAAATAAGTCAAAAGCTAGTATAAACAGGTATTTCCAAGATAATTTTTAAAAAATAATAATTTGTTCACTCAATCCATGACTGTTTGTGGGACGCTGCCGCCGCGTTTCGCCCCCAAAATATACAATTCACTTTACAATATATTCTGTGAAGCGTTTTGAGATGTCTAGAAGACATGATAAGGCTCTATATTGAACGCAAGGATCATTATTATTTACAAAGGTTTGTCAGGCAACTGGCCTCCCACTCACTAATGGTCGTTTCCTGTGTATCACATGCTCTCTGCACGCTCACCCTTCTCCTTTGCCTCCTTCAAGACCCTCCTCTTCGACCGTGCCTTCAGTCACCCTCCTATCCCCCACCTCCTAATCCCAACCACCAGCTCGGGTGTGGATCCCTGACTGGATGTCCAGCGCCTTGGAACATCCTCCTGACTTGAAAGGCGCTATACAAATGTCATTTGTTGTTGGCCACAGAGTTGAAGGAGGCAAACCTACCGAGCTGCCCGTACTCCGGGTGGCCAAAAGAATACAAGTTGCCTTTGCAGTCGACGATCATGCTGAACTCTGCCCCACAGGCGATTTTCACAATGGGCTGGCCGTTGTACATAATCTGAAAAAAAGACAATTAAAGGATCAACTGATTAATCCTTAACATTTGACACAGCACCTTTCGTTTCAGGAGGATGTCGCAGAGCGCTTCACAGGATAGATACAGCGTATAACGTGTAGTGACTGGGTATCTTGTAGACAAACGCATTTTTTAATAGCACAGCGTTGTGCATAATCAAACATTAAGAGAAGACAGAGCCTCCACTGTCAACACTCAAATTTCAGGATTCAGATATTTAGAAGTAGAATACTCAGTATTTTGTTAACGACTCCCCCACCCACCAAACACACACACGATGGCCAAGGTCACTGGATAAGCACTTCCTGGCTTATCTAGACCAGCTGAGCACTGAAGATTTGTTCAGGATGAAGGATGCCCTCAACCAAAAGTTTTACATTGTGAATCATAGTTGCAACTGTGATAAGAGTAGAGATTTCCCATTTAAAACACTGACTGACTGATGTAGCATTGATAACACACTTCCGCCCAGTCAGCTTCACACAAGCCACTGAAGGGCTTCTTAAAGACACATTGTGACCTCCACGAAACATCCGCACAGCACAACTAAAGTGTGTCCATTTCCAACCTCAGTCTTTTCTAGTCCAAGTTCTGATACCATGTAATAAGAAATATTCCGAAGTACTGGTGCGTTATACACTTTATTTAGGTCTCAAATCCATTCACTTCAAACCTACTACAATAACCATACACCATGTCCCTTTCCCCAGGGCCCTTTCATACTTCTTGAATCCCTACTACTGGTTGTACATTAATTTTTATTATCCTTAAAGCATAAAGGGATCTCTACAGATGCTGTCTGTTTCTGCCTCACAGGCCTCTTTTTCTCCCTCTTTTGTTTAATCCAATGGTAACCGATTGATTTGACGAGGTTTGCTCCAGACCAGAAGCATAACTGTTGCCTTTCAGGGCTAATCAACGGTTTGGGTCTGTACAAATGTCCTCTTTATATAGATTACACCGTTTGTCAATTCATTTCCTGCCACCCTCATTCTGGTTAATTCCTTCCTTCTTCAGAGTTGAAATAAAAACAGAAGTCGCTGGAAACACTCAGCAAGTCAGAACTGACGAAAGATCATTGACCTTAAACGTTAACTCACTTTCCTCTCTCCATAGATGCTGCCTGACCTTCTGAGTGTTTCCAACAACTTCTTTTGATTTCAGATTTCTAGCATCTGCAGCGTTTTGCCTTCTCTTCCAGAACTGATCCTGTTTTAAGTACAAAACTTATCCTAGTTTCTGATCCTCATTTGAAACCTGAGATTGAATTAAATCACATTGTGGTCAATATTCCTAAGAGGCTCTCCCTTACCACCGCAAGTAACTATTTCTGGATCATTACTGGTAACGGAGTTGAGCAAGGCCAGCTCCCTGGTCGCTACTAGGACATGCTGTTTTAGAAAGCCATTCCCTTTTCTATTTGTACCTTCCCTCTCCCCCTGGCTCAGGGTCAGACTCTGCTAAGTGCTCCGGGACACTACCCCATGTGAAGGGCACTATATAAATGCACATAGTTGTTGTACTGCTCTTCCCCGCCACGGCAATATGCAAATTAAAAATATCCATTTGAATTCCACATTCTTCTTCTTATGAGGTTCCCCGAGCTGCCTGTATATATATTCCTCCATTTTAACATAGATCAGGTCTATAAAAGGCTTGTGCCAGCATCTCATATCCTTTCCTATTCTGCCCTTTTACCCCCCAGTGACTCCAGCTGAAATGCGAGAGATTGCCACCATCTGCACCCAAAGGCTTTGACGCCCATCCCTACCTACAAAGCAGGTACAAAAGGGGTATAGGGCCTGACCAGCAGCTGCTTACCTCTCTACAAAACAATCAAGGTGGATTCCAAGCCCTGGAAACACAGGCTCCATGCAACACCTCTCAGCTATCGTTTCACCATTGGTGGGCAGACCGTCTCAAGATCCACCTCTTCAAACGTGCCTTCGGTCACCCTCCTACCACTACCCTCCCTGCCCTCCACCCCTCCTGATTCCCACCACCAGCTCGGATGTAGATCCGACTCTCCAGTGTCTTGAGACCATCCTCCTGAGGTAAACGTCGTTGTACAAATGTGATTTATTGTTGGTGAATGGACATCTGCCTTAAGGTGGCATGGAAGGAGCTGTACAGGAATGGGAATTTAAATGGGTCAATGTACAGGAATGGGTCAATGCCCGGGATGGTTACCATCAATGGGAGAGAAGGAACAATGGCACTCTGGATGCCTTACCTGTGCCGGGCACGGTTCTGCCTCAGTCTGGTTTCCGAGGCCCAGCTGCCCCATTTTGTTCTCTCCAAAGGCAAACACGGTTCCAGTTTCTAAACACAAGAAAAAAAGTTAGAATCTAACAGTATTAGAAGAGAGTGCAGCATAACCCGAAGAAAGCACACCAACCAACATATCTGCTTAGGCACACAGGGTCAGTCAGAGACCTGGAACTCTAGCATTTCAGGTACACCTTTAACGGGAGTGATTCCGTTCCCGTGGCTGAGATCATACATTCTGAAACACCAATGTTTATGTCGAACATTAAAGGAACGGAATGTTCCCAGAACTAACAAAGTTCATCATTCTACAGATTCTCTAGGACAAATTGTTGTTACCTGTAAGGCAGAGACTGTGGTTACGGCCGCAGGCTGCTGCCACGATAGCTTGGTCTTTGAGAGCCTCAATGAGTTTGGGTACTTCCCCTCTCTTGGTATCTCCGTGTCCTAGCTGACCTTTCTCCCCTCGACCTGAGGGACACAGAAGATTCAGAGCAAAAAATAGTCAGGCAAACGTCCATTGTGGTTACTGCAAAATGGTTGCTACAGCGGGCGAGAGGCACACAGAGCAAGCAAGGCTCCTCATCTCACACACAACACACCTTCAGTCAGTTGCTCAGACAGAAAACAATTCCAAAATTAAGTACCAATACCAGTCACACTCTTGATTTATAAACTCCAAACATTCTTTTAGATATAATATCCTTGCATTTGATATAGCGCTTTTTCACATCTTCTAGACATCTCAAAGCGCTTCACAGAATAGACTGTAAAGTGGATTGACTGTATATTTATGGGCGAAATGCGGCAGCCAATTGTGCACAGCAGTGTCCCATAAATAGTCATGGATTGAAGTGACCAATTTTATTTGAAAGATTATTATCAGGCGTTATAAAATTTATATGTATGCACATCCTGAGGGAAGTGTGTGTGGTGGGGGTCGAGGGAAGGGAGACCAGGAGAAAATGGGTGGTGTATTAGGTTATATTCAAGTCAAATTCCTCCACCGTCCTAACAACTAATGCGATGTTGTTGATGAGATCATCATTCTGTTTCCTTTGGTGAATAGCAGCAGTCCTCCTGAATCATAAGAACTTCATTCCACCCCCACCACCATGGAACCTGCGTTTTTGAACCTTGTATATGGCTCAATTCAAAGGGAAACCGAGGATAACGGGAGCTGCTGTTTGCTAGGAAGTCAACCTCTGGTAACTGCAAGCCAACCCAATGTGTTCTAGCCACTCACCCCAGCTCCAGAGCTTGCCCTCTGTGGTGATGATGAGGCTGTGGGCAGCACATGACCCCGAGGTGACAGTCCGGACTCGAACTCCAGACAGTGAGCCATACCGGTTCGGGCCCCACAGATTCTGACCCAGGTTACGGTATGCCGCTGAAACAAAAGAGATCATTATTGAGAATCCTCACATGTGATACAGCACCTCTAATGCTTAAAGCATTAGCACTTCACAGGGAATCGCTGTCCAGTGATACAGTAAAGTCCCATATTTAGCCATGAACTGAATGACCAATTATATCTGCAAGATTGTTGGCCAGAACACCAGGAGAAACTCCCTTCTCTTTCTTAACTAAGTCGTGCAATCTTTAACGTCCGCCAGAGCAGGTAGACAATAACTGTTAAATGTCTAACGACTGGCACTTCCGACAATGCAGCTTACCCCCCAGTGCTGCGTATCAGCCTAGACTGTGAGCTGAAGTCCTGACATGGGAGTGTGAACCCAGAACTATCTGATAATAATATTGATATAGCGCCTTATCACATTAACAACAACAACTTGGATTTATATAGCGCCCTCCACGCCGGACGGCGTCTCAGAGCGCATTACAGTAACGGATCCCGGGATCAGGCCAAGGGGAGGGGGAGGAAGGTGACCAAAGGCACGGTCGAACTCACTACCCCAAAAGGCTGTTGAGGCTGAGACCTTGAACATATTCAAGACTGAGATACGATAGATTTCTTATTGCAAAAGGGATTAAGGGATATGGGGATAAGGCAGGGCTAGGTTATTAGCTGGAGTTAGATTAGAAGATCAGCCATGATTGAATGGCGGGGCAGACTCGAAGGGCCAAATGGCCTACTCCTGCTCCTACATGTTATGTTAAAAGAAAGGTCTTCAGCAGAGACCTGAAAATGGGAAGAGAGGGAGCAAGACGAAGGGAGTGAGGAAGGTAGTTCCAGAGCCTCAGGGCACAGTGGCTGAAGGCACGGCCGCCGAGGGTGGAGTGGAGGACAAGGAGGAGGCCAGACCCGGAGGAACGAAGGCAACGGGTACTGTGCTGAGGAGAGAGGAGATCAGAGAGGTCAGGGGGCGCAGAGGAGTGCAGGGAATTGAATACAAGTGTGAGGATCTTGAAATCGATCCTCTCTGGGATAGGCAGCCAGTGCAGTCTGGCCAGGGGTGATTGGGGAGCGAAGTTTGGTGCGAGTGAGAGCATTAGAGTAGTCCAGCCGAGAGGTGACAAAGGCATGGACCAGGGTTTCAGCGGCTTTTGGGGAGAGGTGTTGGCAGAGACAGGCGATGCTTCGGAGGTGGAAGAAAGTGGTGCTGGTGAGGGACCGGATGTGGGGAGGAAGGATAATTGAGGGTTGAACCTGAGGCCGAGGTTGCGTAATGGTTCGGAGAGTTTTAGGGGGAGGTCAGGTAAGTGGAGGAGGTGAGAGCCATGAGATTTTAGACGTTGACGAGAGCCAAAGAGTATGGCTTCCGTCTTGTCAACATTCAGCTGAAGGAAGTTTGCGCTCATCCAGCCCCTGAGATCTGACAGGCAGCTGACAGAACATCAGGGGACTCGGGGTCGCAAAGAGGTGGAAAAATAGAGTTGGGTGTCGTCTGCATTCATGTGGAAAAGTACCCCATGTCTGCGGATGACATCCACAAGATGTCTCAAAATGCTTCACAGCACATAGTGTAAAGTGGACTGACTGCGTATTTTGTGGATAAAATATGGCAGCCAATTGCACATAAGTGTCCCACAAACAGCCACTGAATAAGTGACCAATTTTATTTGGGGGGATTGCTGATAAGAACACCGGGATAGAGAAACTCGCTTCTCTTTTTGAATAGCGAGATGGATTTAGCGAGGTGGAATTAACATCCACCTGAACAAGCAGACGGGAACTCAGTTTAACATCTTATCTGAAGGACGTCACTTCTGACAATACAACATCCCCAGCACTGCATTGGAGCGTAAGTTTAGACTATGTGAGCTCAAGTCCTGATGTGTGATTTGAGCCCAGGATTTGATTCAGAAGAGAGAATGCTACCACTATGCCAGGCTGATACACAAAGGCGAGAGAATGACTGATGGTTTAACTCTAGGGCAGCTGCTGGAGATCCCCCCCCGAAAAAAACAAGAGGAGAATTGGAGCAGCAGCCTCCAGAGACCACTGGTAGCACACGGAGGACTGTGCTCACTATTCCATTGCCGATGTCTGGTCAGTGGAGACCGCAAGAGCAGACACTGGCTACTAATATTCACAAATGTAACAGCAGCTCAATCAGTTTGCTCACTCCTCTTCTCCTACTACACCAGATCAGATCTTAGGAACGGGAATGTGGAGACAAGCTGCGACACAGAGCCAGGAAGTTGACACTTTTGCATCGCTCCCCGCCCACAGCCAAGCGAGTAGTCAAAAAGTGGTAACAAACTAGGTTACATCGCTCCCTCTGCCGGGTGGGAGGGGACGATGTAACCTAGTTTGGCCCAATTCACAGGCCTAATTCAGAAAGAAAATCCAAAAGGACAAAACAGAACACCGAAAATAGCTGCCGAGCTTCAAATATCTGCCAAGTCAGCTTTACAACATACTGGAGGCTGGAAATCCTCAGGTTCTTAGTCTTAAAACTGCTATCTTACAGTTTAATACCACATGGAATTTTAGAAATTCAGTTGTCACTTGGAAGCTGATTTTCCGGAGGGCTTTTTTTGGTTTCTACTTCCAAATTAAGACTGTTTTCCAAAGATCTGCACAACATGAATTTCATGACAATGGTCATAAACCCCAGAATAGCCTGGCGTAGGAGGCTGTAAATCTTAACTCGAGAGAGAGCTTTTGATTACACTGCATTCATTACAACGCATCTTATGAGCAATGCTTAGCCAATACAAGTTATCCAATTTAAGTCAGCAGTTTAACGTCTACCAGCACAGATAAACTCTTTGGTTTCATTTTGTTATTCCCCGGGCTTTACACGATTTCATCTTTTGGTCATCATATTTACAATAATCCTTACATTTGATACAGCGCCTTATCACGTCGTCTAGACATCTCAAACAGCTTCACACGATAACAGACTTCACTGCATATTTGTGGGCGAAACTCTTATTTGAAAGAGTGGCACAGATTGAGAAGTCGGAAAAGTAAAGCAGGTTGGCTGCCATACCCCTGGGAGCGTTAAGGTGCTTGGCTCTGCTGCATTCTGATGTTAATTAAAGATATCCAGTATTGGTCAGGTGAAGTTAATCAGGAAACGATCTGGAGAATTTGATACGCATCTTTGAGGAAGTGTACAGGCCTACCTTGTTGCTTAGGAACCTCTTTTCGACCAATCAAATCCCAGTTTGTTGCTCCGCAAATGAGCAGTTGACCTTTGAACTTGGACCCCTCCAGTTTCTGCGGGAGAGCAGAAAGAAAATTGCATGATACAGTTACTTATTACATCAAACATCCCAAAGCACTTTGTTATCCAGGTATTGACTTGATTTGCAGGTAAACACATTTTGTATACAAAGTCTCACAGATAGCCATGGTAATGTTGGTCAGGATACCAGGAGAAACTCCCTTTGCTTTTCATACAGTGAAACAGGATATCTAGGTTCTCAATGGGAAGACAGCACCCGGAATCTCAGTTTTAATATCTCTTCGGAAGGACAGCACCTTCACAAATGCAGCTCTCCCCCTAGTATTGCTCTGAACCTCAGCCTGGATTCATCTCAAATCGTGACGTGGACCAGTCTATTGACCCATAAGCAAGTGTTATACTAACTGAGACAAGCAGACACAAAGGAGGAAGTGAATTTTTTGGAATATTAAAAACAGACAAAAACTATTCAAACACTACATATTTCATTACATCTGTACTGGCATTGTTGCTCGTGCCCAAAGCTGCACATCTTCAGCTTTATCTAACAAAGGTCTTATATCACCTCTCCATCACCTGTCTATAATGTGGAACCTAGAGACCTGTATAGAGTGTGTGCACAAGCAAAGTTCTAACTGATCCCTCAGGCACGCCAATCATCATCAATTGGAAAAATATCCCTCAATTCCCACTTTCCTGCATTGTCCTTTAATCATTTTATTATTACCATCATCCTCAATCTGCATGTCTTAATTTGGGCCCAAAGTCTCTTATTTGGCACCTTAATGAACTCCTTCCTAATGTCCAAATAAGCATCTATATATCTTCTTTGTTCATATTTTTGAATACATTTTTCAAAGAATCCAATCAAATCAGTCAAGACAAACCATCTCCCCTCCATGCTGATAAACGTTTAACCTCTCTTCAGTGACTCAGTTGAAATCCAACTGACAATTGGCTGCTGAGTTTTGCTCACACAATTCACTTTACAGTGCTTTGAGATGTCTTGAAGACATGATACTGCGCTATATCAAATGCAAGGATTATTATAACTGCCCACTCCAAAAATTGAGCTCCACTGATATCTCAAATCACAAGCCCATTTGATCACATTGTTCCAGACTACCAGCCCTACCATCTTCCCATTATGGCATCAAGCAATTTCTTAAATGAGCCCAGATTCCCATCCTCAACCCCCCTTCGTGATAACTCATTCCAGATGTTAATTCTTCCTGGTGTCACGCCCCTTAAACAGTGACCTCTTGTCACGCTGCCTTGAGGTTCAGTCCCAGAGCCAAACCCCAGGGACGCGATTGCCTGGATTCTTGCTGCCTTAGGTTCCCTCTCTCAATGTTAGCAAGAAAACGTACACACCTGGAGTTCGTGCGAGAACAGTTATCTCGTGTAGGCTCATACAAGAAAAGCTACAATAGCTGGGAGATGCAAAGGGAGATGGTGCTTGGTGCTCAAGGTATCATAGCCCAAATTATCTTTGGTCTTCAGAAGGAGAAAAATATAGTCAGAACACAAACCTCAACATTCAAATTCTACTCCCATCAGCTGATTAACCAGCATCCATCAAACAAATATGACGCCCTGGAAAAGTAGATACCAAGGCCAGAGCTCTGGGTGGGTAGGGGGATTCCTTAGGTTCAATGTTTATCGGTTGCTTCCACTTGTTGGCTGATCAAGGACTCAAGGGTATAAATAAATATAAGCTAGCGAGTAACAAGCATTTATATAGCGCCCTTCACGTGGGGTAGGTCCTGGAGTGCTTAACAGAGCTAACAGGGATTTTAGGAGGACGTTCTTCACACAGAGGGTGTTGAGAATGTAGAACTCACTGCAGGAAGCTGTGGTTGAAGTGAATTTAAGAGATATATTGATGATACATGAGGGAGAAGGCAAGAGAGGGGAATGGGATGGGTGGAGGGAGGCCTGTGTGGCGTATAAACACCAGCATGGATAAGTCGGGCCGAGTGGCTTGTTTCTGTGCTAGATCACTATTTAACTGAAAGACTCAATTGTGCATTCCCATTCCTCCCCCAAAATGAAAGGCACTATAGAAATGTAAATTTGTATTGTGCAAACATAAATACAGGATGGGAAGTTGCCACACAAAAAAAATCAGTAAATAACTATTTAGCGAAGTTCATGCCTGGGCACAATAGTTATGTCCTTGGGAGTTTGTGGGTTTGACCTCAGTCCCCATTCAGCTGCCTCCACAAACCCTCAATATTCTCACAGCGAATAGGGAGAGGGAACTAAGCCTCAGTTTGCTGCTCCAATAAGACTTCAAGAACTTGCAGTTTTTATGTGGGATGAACATCTCAAATAGCTTTGTGACAACAATGAAAACTTGCATTTATACAGCACTCTTCACACAGGTTAGTGTCGAAGAGCTGAAGGATGATGGGTTCGGATGTGGTAAACATCTAAGTAAAGAAAATGCAATTTGGGGGTGCTGATTAAAAGAAGCTTTCAAAGGCAGAGAGGTAAAGGGAAGGGAGTTTGGGAGAGAGTCGAAGGCTCAGCTACCGATGGAGGGAGGGGTGGACTGGAGTGGATGGAGGGAGGAACAAGCAGTGGACTGGAGTCAAATAAAGGAGAGCTCGCTATATGGCTGGAAGAGATGACACAAGACTTTTGGAGGGAAGTGAGGATCAGCATATGGAAATTCTAAAGTCAACTATACTCCAAAAGTGTCCCATACACTCCCCATACACCATGGCCAAGAGAAGCAATCAGACAGGACTTGCAAAACATGAATTTACAGATGATTTTCTTTACACAATCCATCTATAAGCCTCATATCTCTCTTTCCATCTCTGACTAGGTACAGACTAGGTATCACAATAATACACTTTGCATGTGATATAACACTTTATCAAGTCGTCGAGAAGTCTCAAAATGCTTCACAGGATATACTGTGAAGTATTTTGTGTGGGGGGTGGGGGGGAAAAAGAGTACAGGCTCCAAGCTTTACTGTTTGGAGACTTGCAGGATGAAGCAGCTTCTCCAGAGTTTGAGAAAAAAAGTTTCCTAAAAAAAAAGGACCTTATCATTGAAACATCATCTCGAAGCATTACACAAATAGTGTCAAGTGCAGTCAAGTAAGGCAAACACAGCAGTAGCTGTTTTGTATCCAGCAAGTCCTACAAATGAGCAATTAACCTGGGGGAATTGATGGCCAGGACATCGAGAGAAGCTTCTGAACATCCACCTGAACAGGCAGACGGGACACATTTTAATGTCTCTGCTACGAATTAAAGCTGGGACTGAAATTCAACAGTTAACTGGACTTTTTAATTCATCTCCTTTACATATCTGCATGCCTGCTGCTCCTTTATATAAAAAATGATTTACACTGGAATGTGAATGCCTTCCTCTGTGTCGTGGATGTGCATTTCTGGCACTTAATAGCAGGTCACATTACTCCTGCATAGTTGCTCTGTAGCAGTTCTGCAAAATCGACTGCAATATCTATATAAAGAAATATTTAAAGAAACAGTTGCCAGGCATTTGAAACTATTGTGGCTCTTTTGGACAAGTCAAATGCTCAACACAGCTTGACCTTTGCTCTCAATTCTCAAAGGCTGAAGTGCCGACTGCAAAGAGCGAGAGAATCTTTATGGAGGGAGAAAGGTCTCCCCAGCTCCACTATCCACAAAATCCAACTAATTCAAAACTTCGCCACCCATATCCTCACGTACTCTAAACTGTACCCCCATCACTCCAGTCCTAGCCAAGCTCCACTGGCTCTCTATCACAGAACAGATCGACTTTTAGGATCTTCACACTCTACAAATGTAGGTTCCTTCACACGCTGGCAACTCCTGACCTCTTCGACCTGCCAATAATAATCCCTCCAAAACAATAATAAAAAAATTGGTCATTTTCAATCTACGACTGTTTGTGGGACATTGCTGTGCGCAATTGGCTGCCGCGTTCGCCCACAAATATACAGTCAATTCACTTTACAGTGTGTTCTGTGAAGCGCTTTGGGACGTCCTCCCGACGTGAAAAGCGCTATATCAAATGCAAGGATTATTATTATTATTATAACCCACTACCTCCGCTCGGCTGGCTCCGGCCTTCTGCTTGTCCCTCATCTCCTCCACTACAATGCTTTCAGCCACTCTGCTCCCAAACTCTAGCACTCTCCCTCAATCCCTTCACCTTGCCCCCTTCTTCCCCAATTTCAGATCATGCCTGAAGACCTCTTTGACCATGCTGAAGGTCACATCCCTCCTGCTCAGTGTTGTGCTTCACCACCGTTAAGCACTCCCGAGTCTACCCTATGTGAAGGCACTATTTAAATGCAAGTAGTTGTTGTAGGAAAGCATTTCTCTATCTCTAAAGTACCAACTGGAGAAACAGTGTGAGGCAACAGGTTACATTTACACAGCACCTTTCCAGTAAATGAAACAAATGTATGGAAATCAGCGCAACATGAGTAGGCTAGTCAGTCCCTCAAGCCTATGGTTTATCTGCACATGAAATCCATTTACTTGCCCTTTCTCCATATCTCTTGATATCCTTACCTAACAAATATTGATTATTTTAGTTTTGAAAATTCCAATTGACCCAGTATCAGCAGCCTTTTGGGGGAAGGGAATCCCAGATTTATACTACCCTCTCCTTCCGCCCCAGGCGATTCCATGCCCTGTGTGCTGCCCCCCCACCCACGTGTCCTTAATGTTTTATACTCACTTAAACTACTTCAATTGACCTCATGGGTGGTTTTCTAGGACTATGTGCCAGATTCTTATCACTCTCCCCAAAAGGGGATTCTTCGTCTCGGTCATAAACCCAATATGAAGCTTATTTCCTCAATTCTTAACTGATGGGCCCACCGGGGAAATCATCTCTCAAAGAACTTTATAAAAAGAGTTTAATTAGAAACGTAGTGAATTTGTCTGAGAAGGAAATGTAAGCCAAGGCTTATATATAAAAAAGGGGGGGGGCGCAAGAGAAGGGACAGGAGTAACACTTGTTTAAAATGGCAATACCCACTTGAATCCAAAGTGCTGACAATAAACAATAAAACTTTATCTAATATAGAATGTTAAGAGTCAAACCCTGTAGCCAATCTGCGCTGGCAGGTTTTTCATAAACAGGGTCAAACTTCATTTTAGTTTGGAGGAGATTTGGACTACATCAACTTGCAGTTATGTAACATTCTCTGCGCAGAGTAGCATCTCAGGGCACTTAAGACTATAGAGGAATAATGGTCCAGCGTACCTTACTCGTTAGATTTCAATTGACAGGGAAATAAAAAGCAATTTTAAAAAGAAGCAAAGAAACGAAAAGAAATAAAGCATTGGAAATCGCTGGCTTTCCGAGGGACCAAAGGTTGTGGGTTGAAGCACCACTTCAAATCCTGAGTTCAGTCCAGGCTGATGCTCGAGTGAAGTGCTATAGGGTGTCATTAAGATAAGACCTTAAAATGCATCCCCGGCTATTTGTTCAGGGAGCATTAAAGGTCACATAACATTTGAAGAGTTTCTCACAAGGTCCTGGCGAAAGGGTCCCCCTAATAAAAATTCACTTCATGGCCGTTTAGGGGAACCTCAAGAAAACCACCCATATGAAAAAAAATCACTACAATCAACAAGATAACTGTGGAACACTCCAAGACACTAACTACAACAACTACTGACACTGAGGATGGCCCCGGCACGTCCCAACTCTTTTCACTCGCTTTATTTGAAGTACAAGGGGAGTGCTGGAGGTGCTATGAAAATGCAAATGCAAAAAGGATTATAAATCGGTCTCTTTCTTGTTCAAACGACTGGCATGAGAAGGCACGGCACCCGGGGAGAAGGGAGGGGGGGGAGAGAGAGAGAAAAAAAGGACTGGCATTGAGAAAGACCAGATTAATTAAAAAGGATGCATGGCTTACAACACAAAGCCCCACACACACTGCACTCACTGCCTGTCTGTCTGTCTGTCACTCAGCGGCGGCCCCGCCTCCCGGCGAGGTAATGACAGCCACGGGGGCGGACTGAGGCCGCGCCTGCGCATTGAACACTGTGGGGGGAGGGAGGCAAAGTGGCGGGAAATTGAAGTTAAACGGACAACAAATAATAATCAAATTTTTAAAAAATTCTCTCGCAAAATGTAACCGGCGGCTCCCGGTCGCCTGTAACCCGCAAACCATGAGGTAAAGCGGCCTTGAGAACAGTCTTTAACGCCGCATTCGGGCGCGGGCGCCCATGCGAGGCCACGGCTCGCTCAGGGCGGTTCGTGTAGTAAAAAATGTCGCCGCGGTCGGGAGATCTTCCTCCCCCAGGGCAGGTGGGGGGAAGGGTCGGCGGCCCAGCCTGGCAAACAGGCCGCGCCCAGCTCTCTCTCTCTGTGTGTCCCGCAACCCTCACCGCGGCCTAGCGCGGCCGGTAAAGCCTGAGAGTCGGGCCTGGAGGAGTGGGGAGGGGCGACCCGGCCTCAGTGACCCGATGGGAAGGGGGTGGGGGGAAGGGGAGAGACAAAGAGCAGCAGTCGTCGGCCTCACACCCCACCCCCACACACACTCTCCGGGTGGGGCCGCCGAGCGAGAAAGAAATATATCAAACAAATGATTATTATTGTATAATAATTCGATGTTAAAACAAATAAAAGTTATAACTTTAGCGGGAGGGCAGGCTGGCCCGGGCCGGCCGGCACGGTAGGCCTCACTCACAACCCTCCCCTCACCCCCACACGGGCCCCGGCCGCCACGAACAAGAGACACAAGCCCGGACCACAGCGGTCCCCATGGGGGTGGTGCGGGGAGAAAGAGGAGACCAGCACAAACAGAGAGAAAGAGGATAAATAAAAATAAATAAAAATGGTATCAATGAAAATAATTTAACATTTTATTTTATTGTTTTTTTATCGGCTTTAATGCCGTGTGTGTGCATATGTGTGTCTGTCTGTGTGTGTACACATCTCTCTGTCCCCGGGAACAAGAGCCGGCCGGCTTCACACCTGATTAGTTATTAGTCATAATTTTTTTTACACACGAATTCAATTAAAATTTTAAACCGAGAGACATGACAAAACATAAGTCACTGCGCTCTGTGTGTGTGGTGCGAGTCCCGGGGTGAGTGGGCAGTGCCAGGCCGGGCCCGGGGGGGGGGGGGGGGTTGTATCCGGGTTGAAACGCTCTTCCTCCCCGGGTCGGGCCGAGCCTTCATCCCGGGGCCTCTCGCCTTCAAAAGCCGCCCCTTTTTTTAAAAAAAAACCCTCCTCTCCTCTTCCTCCTCTGTCTTCACTTCCCCCCCAAAAATATATAAAAGTTTTTTTAAAAAAGACAGATAGATAGGAATACTTTGATGAAAATTGCCGTTAATTATATTCTAGGGGAGAGAGAAAAAAAAAGAAACGCAAAGACAAAAAAAATTAACCTGAGGTACTTTTTTTAGAATTTAATTTATATATTTATAACAAAAGACTGTTTAAAGAGACGAGTGTTTCTCTCCCTTTATATATTATTATATTTACATAGATAGAAAAAGCTGCTATGTAAATGGAGATTTGTGAAGTTTTTTTTAACCCCCCCCCCTCACCAACAAGCCCCCACCCCTAAAAAACAAAAAAAAGTTTGCTTACTTACTATTTTTTCCTTGGTTTCCTCGGGCTCGTTGACCGTCTGCAAAGCGGCTTTGCCCATTTTCTTGCCCGGGTTTTCCAGCTCCAGTTCCTCATCGTCGCTGAAGTCCCTCTCCCTCTTTCTAACACCCCTTCCTTTCTTTTTCTCCCCTCTCACCCCACCACCGTCCCGACCATCTGCCTTCTTACGAGGCATTTTTTTATTTTCTCTCTTCTCTCCCCTTCTTCTCCTTTCTCCCCCCTCTCTCTCCTCTCTCTCTCCCTCCCTCTCTGCTGTCTACAGAAAAGAATAGACAAGTTTCCTTTCCTTTCCCCCTCTCTCTCTTTAAACCCAAACAAAAACAAACCTCTTCCCTCCACGTCCAATTTTTGATCAGCAAAACCCTTTTAAATTTTCTCCCTTTTCTCTAATAATACTTGACTTAACCCCCCCCTAAAAAACACTTTTTTTCCTGAACGAACATAAAATAAATATAACAGCCACCAACTTAATTTCAACTCAGCAAATGTTGTTGGGGCTTTTTTTTTTGGGGGGGGGGGGGGGGGGGAGTTGCACAGGAGCTTTTTATATATGTGCTCGCCTTGCTTTCTGTCTGGTTTTTAAACCCTCACATTTGTCTCTCTCTCTCTCTTGAGGTCCCTTCCTCCTCCCTCTCCTCTCTCCCCCCCTTTCCTCCTTCCAGACTCTGCCTTTTTTTATTGATCTGAACAATAGATCTCTGTCTGGGAAGCTAAAAAAAACACCACGTGGAGCCGCCTCACATCTGTCTGTCTCTCTCTATATATATATTCCTACCCTAAATAATTAAACAATCAAACTTACGCCTTTTCCTCCCTGTTCGCCCCCCACCTCCACACACACCAACCCTCCCCTTCCCCCAACACACACACAAAAGTGGTTTGCTTTCCTCTCTCCTCTAATTAAGCACCAGGATTTAATTGAATTAGATCTATCTAACTCTTTGCAATAAAGGATGTGCTGGGGGGGGGTGTGGGGGAGAATTTTTTTTGCAAGTTTTTTTTCCCCTCCCCCCAATATGTAAGGCAGCCCACCCACTGTTAAGTTAAAGGGTGAACCTGTCTGTGGCTCCCACCCCCTCTGTGATGGTTGACATGATGTGACAGCCTCCTTCCATTCATAGTCAGTCACTCAGGAAAGAAACCAGTGAGAACTCCTCAGACACTGACATCTGCTGGCACCCAGAGCCCATCAAATGCTCGAAGATGGTGGGGGGTGGTGTTGACATCTTCTGTGTTGACGGTGGTGACATGGGGGTGTTCTCCACCAACCCAGCCTTGCCCATCATGTTTCACAGTTCTCTTTCCTCTGGAGCACTACATTATTTGCAACCGTAGCTGCTTTAAGCGACTTTTATTCATATTGCCAACGTTGGTAAGGGAATGTCAAAGAGTTGCGTGTGGGAATTATGGGCAACTATCATCTTTTCTCAGCTAATTTTACTGGATAACAATCAGGAGCAGGATTTCTCCGTTGCATCCCTAGTTCAGGGTACTGAATAATGATGATAATAATCCTGGCATTTGATATAGCACCTTATCACGTCATTGAGGCACCCCAAAGTGCTTCACAGAATATATTGCAAAGTGAATTGGTTGTATTTGTGGGTAAAACGTGGCAACCAATTGCACACCGCAGTGTCCCACCATCAGTCGTGGATTGAGTGACCACATTTTTGGGGGAAGGCATTATCATTAAATTTCCATTAGAGGGGAGCTAGGAAAGTGATCCTCCAATCGACTAACAACCAAGTTCCTACTTACTGCTAGGTAAACAGGCGTGGAGTAGGGAACTTGCCGAATGTTTTGCCCCACCAGGAATCCTCTCACTTTCGAGGTGAGTGCTGTAACCACTGAGTTACAGGACTACAAGGTATAGAATTCATGGCAATAATCCTTGCATTTGATATAGCGCTTTTCACGTCTTCTCGACGTCTCAAAGCGCTTCACAGAATATACTGTAAAGCGAATTGACTGTTTATTTGTGGGTGAAATGTGGCAGCCAAATTGCGCACAGCAGTGTCCCGCAAACAGTCGTGGATTGAAGTGACCAATTTATTATTGTTTTGAGGGATTATTATCAGGCTTGTGGATTAAGGAAATTTGCCCAAGGTTTCACCCTGCCGGGAATCAAACCCAGGTCTCTCGCTTGAGAGGCGAGCGCTCTAACCACTGAGCTACAGATAAGGAGAATGCAGAAGTGAAGGGCAAAATTCATGATCGAGTCCCCTAGGATTTTCTCCTATAGGTTAGTGTGCTGAAGATATCTGCCTGGTCGGTGGCAGAGGTTTGTATAGCAAAGCAGCATAGAGATGGCTCAAATGTGGAGAGCAGCAAGTACAGTATCCAGTCCCAGCAGCAAGCTACTGACATGGAAAACTGCCCATATGAAATATGTGCAGAATAAATTTCATATTTTTTGTGTACAAAAAAATATTTCAACTATCTTGAGAAAAGCACACCAGAATTCAATAAGGTTCAGCTTTCAACTAATGTTGAAAGTGGCCCGACATTTACACATTATAAAGTCATAGGATGATCCAAACTTAAGAGGATCATTTCCTGTACCAACAACTTTGCAGTTGACAATTTGTAAATAGGTAAATAGGTTTACAGATTCCAACTCACAAATCCCTACATCGTAGTGTAACTCTACTGCAGGATACTGGCTAAATTGTCAAATCAGTTGTTCAGATCCCCAGATATCATATTTAAGCCATATAGTGCTCTCGTATTGCATTCATTTATAATAATCCTTGCATTTGATATAGCACTTTTCACATTTTTGAGACGTCTTAAAGAGCTTCACAGAGTACACTGTAAAGTGAATTGACTGTATATTTGTGGACGAAACGCAGCAGCCAATTATAATAATAATAATCCTTGCATTTGATATAGCGCTTTTCACGTCGGGAGGACGTCCCAAAGCGCTTCACAGAACACATTGTGAAGTGAATTGACTGTATATTGCGCACAGCAATGTCCCACAAACAGCCGTGGATTGAAGTGACTAATATTGTTTTTTTTTCTTGAGGGATTATTATCTGGCGTGTGGAGTAAGGAAACTTGCCCAAGGTTTGCCCTGCCGAAAATTGGACCCAGGTTTCTTGCTTAAGAGGCGAGTGCTCTAACCACTGAGCTACAGGACTCCACATTTCTGGTCTCCGCGACATAAGGGGAGAGGAGATAGCTATGAAGAACAATCAGACAATCTAGGGCTCTTCAGTCTTGAAAGGAGATGTGTCTAAAGGGACCTTAAAGATGTCTATCAAAATGTAAATAGGATAAAGTAAGCCCATGTCAATACTTTATCAATGCACCATAGATAGTAGAACAATAGGAGATAGGTTAATGTTTGGGATGAGCAATTTCAGGGCAGACACCAGGAAGTCTTTCTTTACCCAGAGGGTATTAATGATTGGATCAAGTTGTCAGAAAGAGTGGTTGAGGCCAGGACCCTGGCATGACACAAGCTGCCCCACCACGTTCATCAGATAGCTAATGTGGAAATTCTGAGGCTTCGGCCGACAGTTGGAAGGTGTTTCATGGGGTCTGAGTTTGTAAATGCACATTTCTATATTCAGGGCTTGGAATCCACCTTAATTGGGTAATGGACTCATTTAAAAATAGCTGGGACGAAGGTAGGTTGGGCATTCTGAAAAATGAGATCATGTGGCCAAAGGGCCTTCTTCATCCAAATGAATCTTATAACCATAAAATAATATGAATCACTCTTAAATCTCCACCAAATAAGAATGAAATACTGTATATCAATGCACGACTGCATCGCTGTGAAGTGTTCCAAGCAAGCAGTAAGTCCACAATATACTTTACAGTATACTCCGTGAAGCGTTTTGAGACGTCTCAAAGACGTGATAAGGCGCGATAGCAAATGCAAGGATTACAACAACAATAGGATTACATTAGTATAGCGCCTTTCACGTCGGGAGGATTATTATGTTATATACATATAGGGCAATAAATAAATGCCAGTTGTTGCTACCTCATCACATTTCCTCATGAGCATGAGTAGTTTGAAAGATAATGTCCTCTGAAGCATCGTTCAGATGTTGCCGATCTTCTGCTGTTGATTGCTGCATATAATTTTATGTATTATAGCTCGGCAACTTTGGATTTCAAAAATTGTCACTCCCTAGATGAATGGAATTTGTCATAAAACTTTGCATTTTTTAACCCCAATTTCTTTCTTGTATCCTGTCCTTCCAAACTGTACATCAACAAATTTACATTGATACAGAACATTTCCTGTTGGGCGTATGTCCCAAGGTACTGGACAGTCCAGGGTTTGCACCCAAGCTGAGGGTGGGAGCTGGGAGGGGTGAGGGCCAATGGGTGGAGAAGCAAAAATGACAGAAGATGTGGTCAAAGAGGAAGATCTCGAGGCAGAGCTTGAAGGAGTTGAGGGAGAGTAGCAGAAAGTCGGTGTAGTTATGCCTGGACGTGATGAATATGTGGATTAACGTCTTGGCAGCCTAAACAGATAGGTATTGGTGGAGATGGGTATATTAATATTAATCATAGGAGTTTGAGGAAAGCTGAAAAGGTCAGAGCATGGACTTGAGGTTTAAAGGACAGTTGAGAATCAAATGAGACACTGAGATCCCACATTGGCTCCCCAAAGCATGTAAATTGATGCTGTCAGCATCTAAGGTGTGAAGGCACTGACAGGCTAAGCAGGAGGGACTCTGTATTGTCAACACTCAACTGGAGAAAGTTAGCGCTCATCCAGGACCAGTCCTAGAATCTATAGTGGAGGTGATATCGCTGAGTGGGAGCATGTAGATATTAAAGAGAAGAGGACTATAGAAACAGCCCTGAGGAATGCTGCACATGACATTGCGGGGACCGGAGGAGAAGATGTTGGAAGAGACAAAGTGGAGACGTTGGGATAGGTAAGAATGAAATCAGGAAAAGGCAGAGCTATGAAGGTGGAGCTAAGAGGAGAGGTGGTGGAGAAGGATCGACGTGGAGAAATCAGAAGACATCAGAAAGAGGATAAAAATCGAGACACTTTTTGGCACTTTTAAAAGTACAACTTTCCTAGGTCGCTATTCCCTTCAACTCTCGTCAAATATGGTCCTGAGTTTTACTCATTGTTTGGCCATAAATATAGTGCTTGCACCTGGTACATGGGGAGTTTTTCCAGCGTGAAAGCACATAGCTGTTCAATTCAACATGAACTGAAACAAACATGAAAGTGAAATT